GATGATAAAGAATGAGAAGACCGAGAAATGGAGTTCGAGGATGATGGTGAAAGATCATTATGTCATCATGGTTGAGCCTGGCAATGAATATCTCACACATGTGACTCCCAAGACTGGACACGGAAAGCAGATTGCCAAAACTATTCACGAGTTTCTGGTGGAGAAAAATCTAACCCAGCAGCCCATTGTGTGTGTGTTGGTTGTGATGGAACCAATGTAAATGTAGGATCAGAAAATGGAGTCATTCATCATCTTGAAATGTTACTTGGTCACCCGCTCCATTATTTCATATGTCAGCTTCACGGAAATGAGCTGCCTTTCCGCGCAGTTTTTTATCACTATGATGGCAAACCAAGTGGTCCTGAGCATTGGCGTGGTCCCATTGGAAAGCAGATCAAGGAGTCTTTGTCTGAGCTTCCAGTTGTTGCCTTCCAGCCAGTCAGTTTCCCTGATTTCCCTGTGTTTAATGATGAAGTGGAGAAAGATCTGTCCTGGGATCAGAAATACCTGTATAGGATTTGTAAAGGAGTTATCACAGGTGTTGTTGAAGATGACTTGGCTGCTATTGAGCCAGGTCCTCCCTGTGTGTCAAGGTGGAACACCTTATGGAGTAGAATCCTCAGGCTGTATGTAGCAACATCAAGACCCAGCCATGAGTTGAAAAGAATTGTCATTACAATAATAAGTTCAGTGCTCCAATGTGGTTTTACATCAAGATACACCCTTACGTAACACACGGCTCAAGGAACGTATTCCAGTCCCTGCTATATATGAAACACCTGAATAGTGAGGAGGAGACGATAGTGAAGAAGGCTGTCCAGAGAAATGCATACTTCGCCCACACAGATCAACTTCTTCTTGGTATGTGTGCAGATGAGGACATGACTGTTAGAGAAAAGCTGTCTCAATGATAAGAAAAATTAGAGAGGAGAATCAGCAAAAGGAAGAATGCACTGGCAGATCTGAAGAGGAGGAGGAAGATTCTGATGCTGCTGTTGACGAGAATTTGTTAAACTATACTGATGAGGAGGGTAAAGATGGAGATGGGAATGAGGATGTGCCTCCTGTAGTCAACATGAGAAAGATGGTGACTCCGAAACTAAAGTGGCAAGCAAAAAACTATCATTCCATGATTAACTGGAGGAATGAACTCAAGACTGAGCCTCCTTACATTGCTTCTCTGTCAAATCTACAGGTTAATGACATTCTTGAGACACCATTAGTGGTGCCCAAGTGGCCAAACAGCACTCAAGCGGTCGAGAGAGGCATAAAAGTGATGACTGAAGCTTGCACTGAAGTGACGGGATACGAATCGAGAGATGGATATATTAGGCAAAGATTATTGTCTAGGAAAATGATGCCAAGGTTCCCCACAAAAAAGAATTTCAATATGAACTTGTAATGATTTTCTATACGGTGTACCTGTAAAATAACATGTGAATTAAATCGATGTCACCCATGTAAAATTTATCATTATCCTGGAAAACATTAAATGACACCTAATTTTTGGTATACACTAAAAGTTGACAAAAAGTCATTCGCGATGCGGCAGGGTAAGTATGCATGAAATGGCATGAAATTTTGCACAGGTGTTTGTTACAACCATACAAACGATGCCTGAAAAGTGCAGCCTGCAACTCAAATAAAAGTGTTTTTTCCCTGCCCCCTAATGCACATCAACCTCTCCTCCGACGTTGTCCCACCCCCTTCCATTACTTTAGGTCCCAACACACTCCAGGTTGTAGATTCCACTAAGCTCCTCGGCGTCACCATAGACAACAAACTAAATTGGAAACCACACGTCAGTGAAGTTGTCAAATCCTCCAGTTTTCGTCTCCACCTCCTCCGCCGACTCAAGTCCCTCGGAGTTCCTGCACACGAGCTCCTCAGTGTTTACTCAACATTCATACTTCCCAAGCTCACCTATGCCTCCTAGTCTTCCTCTCTAAATGCCACACAACGTAAACACCTAGAAAAAGTGCAAAAGAGGGCATGCAAGATTATTCTCTCCCCTTCCTACTCCACATATCAAGAAGCGCTCAAAGCACTGACCCTCTCGGCTCTCACTGACCATCACCATGACCTCATCTGCAAATATAGTGAGAAGCTTATGCACCATCCTCGACACCGGCTCCTACTACCACCCAAGATCCTTTGCCCGAGAATTGCTGTTCGACACCACAACCGCATCCAGCCCATACAAGCACGAATTGATCGCTATAAGAGCAGCCCAGTCCCAACCATTGTAAAAATTATCAATAACTTGTAATCAACCAGGGTATTCACTCCCAGTCAATCTTACTTTTTGCACTGTCACTAAATGAAAAATGCCCTGTAGTTTGAGCTCTTCCCCACCTAGTTATTATATATTATAGTTGTATCACTTATGTTGCTTGTATATTATTTGTAAATCAAGAGACCCATTCCCCAATTATGTAACTGTATATTTCCAGCCTTCCGGCTGCCATGCTCATTCAATGAAACGTTAATTATTATTATTATTATTATTATTATTTTATTATTATTATTATTATTATTATTATTATTATTATTATTATTATTATTATTATTATTATTATTACACACACACACACACATACACACACACACACACACACACACATACATTAACGTGGGAGTGGGTCGATGTGTATTATAATTATGTATAAGTTATTGGACAATAGGAATCAACATCCGGTCGACGACAAAAGTCCCCCCCCCCCCAGTAATCAGGTAGAATAATTTCGTAGTAAAGAAAATTAAATTATATAGTGAAAGTGTATCTCACAGACCTGAAGGCCCGGTAGAGGCAGCACGGATACACAGTGGCCGGCACTGTCTTTAATTCAGCATCCGTAAAGTTAAGTACTCGTACACAACTGGGTCAACTGGGAGGCACCAACCAACCAACATTAAGGCAGGAGGGGACCTTGGCATTTTAAGTTAATTATTTCTGAAATCCAGTGGCCAAAATTTCAATAATTTTGAAAATAATGTGACATTTTGTGATAATTTTTGCCGGCGATAATAGAGATCTGATTTTTGTTTTGTATTATGAAAAACACTTCAATACAATCCATAATTGTTTTTTGTAGGTATACATGTATTGTATGTACAGAGAACAGACACAAAGTCCTTTTAACAATATAAAATCACCTGAATACTTAATATAACACAGGTGTTCCAAGAGTCGTATTTTGCATTTATGATTTATTTGAGCCGAGAAGATTGTGTAACTTATTTTATTTGTTCTCAGTTAGGAAATATTTTAAAATTATTTTTACTTCAGTTATCCCCGCCCTCTAATATGTGAGGAAAATGTTTTAGAAACAATTAAATAATAGTACTTTGTCCTCATCATGATGTTGAACCATGGGGGCGGGTGGGGGAGCGGTAACATACTCACCTCTCACACTGGGAGACCAAGGTTCAGCCCAACCTTAGTGTGCGCGCACACACACACACACACACACATTTCTATATATATATATATATATATATATATATATATATATATATATATATATATATATATATATATATATATATATATATATATATTGTGAGGTATCTTTATGAGCGTAAATGTGTATTTCACATTGAACACAATTTCTAAAAGGTACAGTAGGTGAGTCATGCACTATTCTATCACATGAGAAGCGTGTCACACAATACTGCATGTCATTACTGCTGCAGGTTTTACGATCAGAAAATAATACGTGAGAGAGAAACAATGGCGAGGGACACCTGTTACAGATGTATTGTTGGGTCCCAAACACCTGTGCGCTAAAATTAGTAATAAACCCAAATACAGAATATTATAATTTGGTTACTCAAGGAAACCAAATGAGAAGCGACACATTATATGAAATCCTCTATATAATAATAATAATAATAGTAATAATAATAATAATAATAATAATAATAATAATAATTAACGGTTTATTGAAAGAGCATGGCAGCCGGAAGGCTGGAAATATACAGTTACATAATTGGGGAATGGGTCACTTGTTTGACAAATAATATACATGTAACATTAGTGAGACAAATGTGATATATAATAACTAGGTGGAGAAGTCATACTACAGGGCATTTCAACATAGAAACAATGCAAAAAGGTAAGATTGACTGGGAGTGAATACACTGGTTGATTATGAATGTGTGTGTGTGTGTGTGTGTGTGTTTGTGTGTGTGTGTGTGTGTGTGTGTGTGTGTGTGTGTGTGTGTGTGTGTGTGTGAACCTTAAGATTTTGGAGATTAACTGTATTTTATCAATACGTGTTACACCTGTTTCTTTGTTCATCTGTGAACAACACACGCACATGCGTGCGCACACAGACAGCTGAACACACACACACACACACACACACACACACACACACACACACACACACACACACTTTTGGCTGCCATGCTGTTTCCAATAATCGGTTAATTCATTATTATTATTATTATTATTATTATTATTATTATTATTATTATTATTATTATTATTAAATATTATTATTATTATTATACTATTATTATTATTATTATTATTATTATTATTACGACACACGGGCAGTTGACAAGGAAAGAGACAAACAGACACACACACACAGACGAATATAAACACACACACACACACACACACACACACACACAGACACACACAGACACACACACACACACACAGACGACAGGCAAACAGATAGACACACACACACACACACACACACACACACACACACACACACACACACACACACACACACACACACACACACACCCACACACACAGATAAGCGACAGTCTGAGCTTGTTTTAGATAGCTTGAGTTGTACCTTGAGGGTGAAGTCGTTAAGAGCCTGGACAAGTGACTTTTTTAGAGCAGCTAATTGTTGAGTAGAACTACTCTAATTACCTGTCTCGTGTACCTTATGTTCCTCTTGTGACGACCAATACCTGTGTTCCTGTAAACCTTTGTGTTCTCGGTGACGACTCAATAATTCCTTGGAGTCTCAAATTTTGTGTTCCTCTTTGTGACGACCACACCTGAGCGTCCGTGTACCTTGTGTTCTCTTGACGACCACACCCAGTGTCTCGTGTACCTTATGTTCCTCTTGTGACGACCACACCTGAGTCTCGTGCACCTTGTGTTCCTCTTGTGACGACCACACCTGAGTCGCGTGTACCTTGTGTTCCTCTTGTGACGACCACATCTGAGTCTCGTGTACCTTGTGTTCCTCTTGTGACGACCACACCTGAGTCTCGTGTACCTTGTGTTCCTCTTGTGACGACCACACCTGAGTCTCAAATTTGTGTCTTCTTGTGACGACCTCACACCTGAGTCTCTGGTAACCTTGTGTTCCTCTTGTGACGACCACACCTGAGTCTCGTGTACCTTGTGTTCCTCTTGTGACGACCACACCTGAGTCTCGTGTACCTTGTGTTCCTCTTGTGACGACCACACCTGAGTCTCGTGCACCTTGTGTTCCTCTTGTGACGACCACACCTGAGTCTCGTGTACCTTGTGTTCCTCTTGTGACGACCACACCTGTGTCTCGTGTACCTTGTGTTCCTCTTTGTGACGTACCACACCTGAGTCTCGTGCACCTTATGTTCCTCTTGTGACGACTCACATCTGAGCTCCGTGTACCTTGTGTTCCTTGTGACGACCATACCTGAGTCTGTGTAATCTTTGTGTTCTCTTGTGACGACTATTAACGGAGTCTCGTGTACTTTGTGTTCCTCTTTGTGACGACTACACCTGAGTCCTCAGGTACCTTTGTGTCTTTCAGACGACTCCACACTGGAGTCTCGTAAACACCTTGTGTTCCTCTTGTGACGACCACGCCTGTGTCTCGTGTGTACCTTGTGTTCCTCTTGTGACGACCACACCTGTGTCTCGTGTACCTTGTGAGTGTTTGTGATTTTAAAGAAATTGCTATTTATGTTACGAACATTACAAAAAAAAAAAAAGAACTACATTATAAATTACCATATTATGCTGAACTAGACAACAAGAAACGATTGTAAAGGCAACAACAGAGCGCTCTAAACATTGATTAATATACACACTAGGAAAATATCCAACGACAACCACTTCAGTACTTAGGCAACAGGTATGATTTAAAGGTTGGGAGTGTAGGTTTACCTTTAATGGATGAAGGTGTCTTGTACCACACCTTCACTCCCTGGTATTTTAAGAAGGTTTGGGAACTGTGATGAAGACAAGGAGGGCGGCCTCACTAAATCACTCTCTTAAATGGTGGTTCTCGTTTATTTATGGCCGAATATTATCATTTTATCTCCGGTGTATAACTGATCTAACAAAACACTTGGCATAACAAATAATCATGATTTTTTTTTTACCATTAACTGATTCAAGTTAACGTCAGTCTTTTCCAAATGTATGTTTGTTAGTAGACTTTTGGGGGGACAGTAACCACCTCAGTAGTACCTGTCATAGCCCTGACTACCATTAGAGACTCACTGTATACTAAGCCTTCGGTACACAGGGCTGCAGCACGGCCGGCCCTGTACTCGACGGTTTTCACTTCCCCAACTGTAGAATAAGGTACAGTACAGTACACCAGTTTGTGCCCGGGATCGAACGTGTGACCCTTGGAACAGTAGACGGACGCTGTAGTCACTCATAGCGCAAGACGGTAAATAAAGTTTGGGTAAAATATCATAAACATGTTTTTATCCTCTTACGTTGGGCAAGTGGCGAGTGAAGTATAACCTGCCTTCTTATCTCTTGATTTTATTTTCAATATACTGAATGTGTTTATTCAATCTTCATCAGATATCAGTAATTATCACTTGGATTCTCGTGTAGTGTTGCTGCTTAAAACTTATTTCCAAGAAACAAGAGAACTAAGAAGAGCGCAATGGTTTTCTTCAGTGGAAAATTATACAATATTTTTTTTAGAAGGTTGAGGGTCAGTTAATACACACACCCAGTTCTTGATATTAGTTAATTTGCGGTTCATGATGATTAGTAACGTTCGACAGAGGAATTATGTGGCTGGCATATATACTAATTCGAAATGTTTGTAAATAAAATGTGTTTCACAAGTGTGCAAAAGTACACGATGATCTCTTTTATGGACATCATAAACGGCATTGGCCCAAGGAAAGCGCCTTGTGGAACACTGTGTGATAAGGGACAAGGATCAATTGGATAGCCACTGAGGTAAAAATACTGTCTCTTTGTTATCAGTTTAGACGAGGACCGCTTGTTGATTAAGTCTGTAACGCCTTAAATGATCTAGTTTTAACAGTAATATGTTGTGGTGTGAGGTGTTGAAGGCTTTTTGTGAGGTCTGCAAACAATCCAACTTTGTACTGGTCGTCATCAGAACGATTCAACATATCGCCGGTGACAGATAAAAGAACGTAATCGCTTGACATTCTCTCTCTAAAACCAAACTTGGATTCTGTAGTGATGTTCTTATTTTACTACAGATGAACTCGGGTCTGATACATGTCGCCACCTCTATTATTTCACTTATAAATTGGAGGACTGAAACGGAGGGTTAGGCCTTTGGGAGAGGGGAAGGGGAACACCTTTACCAACTGACAATAATATAGGATTTTTTTTTATATCTAATTTAACTGAACAAAATACCATTATAAAGGGTGAATTGTATACATATAGGAAGAACAGGTATCGTTAATGGGATCACTTCTTTAATGATGCATATTGATGTGTTGTCATTTACCTGTTGCTGCATCTTTGACTCGTTTAATGACACCTGTTGTCAGAACCTTGAGTGATAGGGGACAACATTGATATCACGTGACAGTTTTGTAGGTATTAGAAATATCATGTTCCTCGGGATTTTTTCTTTTGAAGTTTTTGTCCGTTCATGACTTTACCTGTTGAAGTGACTGAGGTATCCGTTGTTATATTTTAATTTACGGTTAAAAAAAAATGTTTAAGGATTTTGGATTAAGTTATTCTCCTTTAGGTAAGAGTTAATGAAACCACTTCTTGTGTTATGATCTCCCGTTTATGTTTCTCATTTGTTTTGGTTATATACAATCATTATACTGCTCTGGGTTACTTTATTACATCGTGGATAATATAAAGTACAAAACTCGTCACGTTGTCTATCGCGTTGACTAACAATTTGCCTTCGTCACATTGTCTCTCTCGAGGTTAAGTTAGATTAGGTTAGGTTAGATTCGGTTAGGTTAGAGTAGAATAGGTTTAGGTTAGGTTTAGGTTAGGTTAGTTTAGGTTAGTTTAGGTTAGGTTAGGTTTAGGTTAGGTTAGTTTAGGTTAGGTTAGGTTTAGGTTAGTTTAGGTTAGGTTAGGTTAGGTTTCTCAAGTCCCGGCCATCGTGAGAGACAATGTGACTGTATCTGTCCGCCCGATAAGCCTCGACTTACTTTATTCACAACACTCAGTAATCCTTCACCATCTACCAGTGGACACAGTTCCACCAGTAAGCCGACAGGATGGGACCTTTACAGTGTACAACCGAGAACGACTAACATGTTGGCAGCTCATTGTACAGCCCCAGAGCGAGAGAGAGAGAGAGAGGCAGCCTCGTACACCCGCCTTGTTCAACACATATTAGTTGTCGGATGCGGCATTAAACAACTATAAAAAATATATTTATAGATCATCTCCTTAATATCCGTCCAAGACTGTTATGAGAGGATGCCGCCAATCAGCACACCTGCTTATTTAACGTTACCAAACCTGCCAGGCACACCATAAACGGCCAGGTGTGTGGAAGAAGGCGCCTGTGGTTTCACTCCATTAAAGAAAGAACCGACAAGAAGTGTGCAACTAATGTCCAGTGTCACTCTTGTCCTTCACTTATCCAAACTGTAACGTTAGGTACCCATTTGCAGCTGGGTGGACTAAGGGTACCGCGGGCATGAACCAACGACCATAAGAACAGGAGACGAGAGCTGTATCCACTCCCCCACCGCACCACCCCCTTCTCGGTTATACCTTTTTCATAAACATTACTTCACTAGAGATCTGTTATTTTACGACTTACTGTAACACAAAACAAGTCTGGTGGTCGTCTGAAGCTTCTCGAGACACAGCTGGCAGCAAAACTCTTTAATACACTTAACTCCTCCTGTATAGTGAAGCTTTAAAATGATCCGAGGTAGAAGAGCTTAAATTAGTCAATATCACGGATAGAAATGTCCAATCTTATCCCTGTCTCGTGTTTTGGATTCGTGTTATAGTTTAAGAACAGCAGTGAGAGAGAGAGAGAGAGAGAGAGAGAGAGAGAGAGAGAGAGAGAGAGAGAGAGAGATAGAGAGAGAGAGAGAGAGAGAGATAGAGAGAGAGAGAGAGAGAGAGAGAGAGAGAGAGAGAGAGAGAGAGAGAGAGAGAGAGAGAGAGAGAGGAGGGGAGAGAGAGAGAGAGAGAGAGAGAGAGTAGGCAGAGAGAGAGAGAGAGAGAGAGAGAGAGAGAGAGAGAGAGAGAGTAGAGAGAGAGAGAGAGGGTATGGCGTTAGGCAGAGAGAGAGAGAGAGAGAGAGAGAGAGAGAGAGAGAGAGAGAGAGACTTCCTAGTTGGACAAACATGTTAAAAATCCTGAACATCATAACAATTTCTAGTTTCCATTTATGTGTAGTACTCTTGTCTCGTCTTGTTGCCAGGCTACTTTAATCATATTCCTGGAGACGTCATTGCTGCCCAACAAGTTCCCACCCAGACAGTATAATAGTTTGTAATAAAAAAACTCTCTATGTATAATGTGGTCGTCCAGACAGTCAAGAGTGTGCCAAATATTTATTGTATTGGGATAAGACGAGTCAAGAGTCGCTTCTCATGTACTGTACTCAAGGTCGAATTTTGAGTTTTGTTTTTTGAGTAATTTTCCTATTATAATTTTGACATTATTATTATTATTATTATTATTATTATTATTATTATTATTATTATTATTATTATTATTATTATTATTATTATTATTATTATTATTATTATTATTATTATTATTATTATTATTAATTTATTAATATTACTGTATTACATATTATTATTATTATTATTATTATTATTATTATTATTATTATTATTAATATTATTATTATCATTATTATTATTATTATTATTATTATTATTATTATTATTATTATTATCATTATTACAGTATTATTATTATTATTACATTATTATTATTATTATTATTATTATTATTATTATTATTATTATTATTATTATTATTATTATTATTATTATTATTATTATTATTATTATGTACTGTCCAATCGGTAAAAAAAAACTATCCTGTAAAATTCTTGTACGAAACAAAATGGCAGCACGAACGAAGCTTTTGGATAAAGGCCTAGAGGCATATTGTACTGTTATTCACCAATCATAATGCAACCAACTAATTTAGGCCTACAATAATAGATAGGAAATATCTCACAATCACGCCTACCAACCCAAGGTACTTTTTTTTACCGAGTACATTACTTTCAATAATTGCTTAGTTGTAATATTAATTGATTGTGAGTGGATCGCTGTGGACCAAAGTCGAGGTAAGAGGGACCCTCGATGGTTGCTGTATGTATGTATGTATGTATGTATGTATGTATGTATGTATGTATGTATGTATGTATGTATGTATGTATGTCCGTGGCCTCAGAATTAACTAACTGATAGATAATTTACTTGTAGATTTGTCCTCTTCATTATGTAGGTTTATTTTTGTACTTTGTAACGTCGTCATGAAGTATTATTCTTATTGTAACGTAACAGTAACAACTATTTGGCAATAATTATGTAACGTAAGAGTAACAGTTTTTTGGCAATAATTATGTAACGTGAGAGTAACAGCTTTTTGGCAATTATTATGTAACGTAAGAGTAACAACTATTTGGCAATAATCATGTAACGTAAGAGTAACAACTATTTGGCAATAATTATGTAACGTAAGAGTAACAACTATTTGGCAATAATCATGTAACGTAAGAGTAACAACTATTTGGCAATAATCATGTAACGTAACAGTAACAACTATTTGGCAATAATCATGTAACGTAACAGTAACAACTTTTTGGCAATAATTATGTAACGTAAGAGTAACAACTATTTGGCAATAATTATGTAACGTAAGAGTAACAACTATTTGGCAATAATTATATAACGTAAGAGAACAACTATTTGGCAATACTGTAATTATGTAACGTAAGAGAAACAACTTTTCGGCAATAATTATAGAAAAATAATAATTAGCTGTATAACACGGACTAAAAAGTTTGTAAAGTTGTTGATTGAAAACCCTGGCAGTGTGTAAAGTGAGGTATTATGTTTAAATATGACAGCGTCTTGGTTAAATTTATTCGTGTTTTATAATCTCAAGGACACCCTGTTTTTTCCCCATGTGTGTTTCAGCGACATTGAGTGTTCGTATGTTTGGCATTACAACAGGTTCACAATAAGAGGTTCCTGTTATGATGTGAAAATATAAAACAAAAAACTATTGTTGACAAGCGTATAATATAAAATTTGCTCATTTTTTATCTTATCAAATTACATTAAACATTGACGTCAACTGGATTAAGTAATAAAATTGGTCTCAGTTAACATGACTGAACATATTCGACCTTAGTTCTATTATTGATTTTTTTTTTTGTAATAGCTAAAATGTCAACATTTTATCTTGGCTTAGAAATCGGATATGAGGTGAACACTGTTAATGATTCAGTTTAAAGAACATGTAGAGTGTCCTGGCTCGATTACAGTGCGGCTGTGACCTACTTAGTGATTATATTTGACCACCTGTCATTAAGTCTTAACTCTTGACACTTGTAGACCGGGTAAAAACTGTATAAACACAAGTATTTATCTTTTATCAACCTTACTTGATGAACTCTGGCTTTAACTAACATGATCTCCACAAGGAAAATAATTAAGTGATTTTAACGATCACCTGAAGATTAGGCATACAACTTATTTCACCTGAGGACTAAATACCCTAACGTAACGTAACGTAACGTAACACTAACCTAACCTAACCTAACGTAACGTAACGTAACGTAACCTAACGGAACCTAACCTAACGTAACCTACCGCAACCTAACCTAACCTAACCTACCGCATCCTAACCTAACCTACCGTAACCTAACCTACCGTAACCTAACCTAACCTAACGCCTTCAGGTGTAATACACTGGGGGCTATACTCTTTAGGTGATCATTTTTTATACGAGGGAAAAATCCTCAATACACGCTAATTGAATTGATGTAAGCTGTGTGTGTGTGTGTGTGTGTGTGTGTGTGTGTGTGTGTGTGTGTGTGTGGAACCTTTATTATCAGGGTCGCTTTCGCCGTAAAATTTTCTTTTGGTCCATTTAACTGCAGGTTGTCAGGTGAGATTGGTTGACTTTGTTCTAATCCCGTGGTCACGAGATTAAGGCTTAAGTAATATTATTTATGTGATTTTTATGAAGAACTAATATTTGTCTGATATATAATTCTGGTTGTGATTGATTTTTTGTTATTTTCTGATTTATATTTACAATTTTCACAATATGTCGTGTAGTTTTGTGTGGTTTTATTTTATTTCGTAAAAATCGACTGGTTGAGTGAGTTTGGCTTTTGGTGTTTAGAATTAGGAATTTAATTAATAATAATGATCAAGGGTGTAGTACTTTGTGCCTGTGTGTGGCTCCTCTCCTTAGGCCATCCCTCCAGGTCTACTGTCCATGGCAGCTGTTGAGTGTGGCTGCTGCTCACCTGTCCAAATTACC